CCCTCCTCACCTGTGTCTTGTTTGTGTAATTAGTCTTGTGTGTATTTAAGTTCTGGTTTTTCTGTCTGTCTTTGTCGGTTCGTCTTTTGTCATGACTAGTTTGTCGGTGAGTGTTCTGTTCTGTCTGTTATCACCTAGCCTTGAAATAAAGGAACTTTCACTTTAATCTGCATTTGGGTCCTACCTGCTTCACACACCGTGACAGTACGAACCGACCAAACAAATGGACCCAGCAGATGATCCATGGGAGGTAGAATTACAGCATTTTACCTTCTATCTGGCTTGCTGCTTCGATTGGTGGAAGGAAGCGTCCAGTGTTCGGCAGAAGAGGGCCGCTCTGGTAGAGGCGCACCGGTTGGCAGCAGAGAAACTATGTTTTGTTGAGTTCTTACCCGACTGGATTTTGGACTTCCTTGAAACATGTGATTCCCGGCCTGCTAGCCCCAGGCATGCTAACTCCATTTCTCCCAATTCCCAACCTGGCACCATACGCCTTGGTGGGTTCCGCCTGAAGTCAACCCGTGCTTCTGCCCCAGTTCCTGCTCCTGTCCAGGAGTCGTATTCCGGAACTCGTCAGGCTTATGGAGGTCCACGGAGTATTCAGGAGGCTGCTAAGAGGAGTCGTCGCAGGGCCAGGCTGGCAGCCCGAGCCCCAGTGGCCGTTGTTCCGGCTCCAGTGCAGGCCCCAACAGCCATGGTTCCGGCTCCAGTGCCGGCCCCAGCAGCCATGTTTCCGGCTCCAAAACAAGCCCACACAGCCATGATCCAGGCTCCAGTACAGGCCCCAACAGCCATGGTCCCTGCACCAGAGCTGGCCCATACAGCCATGGTTCCGGCCCCAGTTCCAGCCATGGTTCCGGCTCAAGTACCGGCTCCAGTAGTCATGGTCCAGCACCTCGTCTCCTGCTGGCTCCCCAGCCGACGCCAGCTCCCGAGTCTTGTCGGCGTACCGGCCGACTCCAGCACCTCGTCTCCTGTTGGCTCTCCAGCCAACACCAGCTCCCCGAGTCTTGTCGGCGTACCGGCCGACTCCAGCACCTCGTCTCCTGCTGGCTCCCCAGCCGACGTCAGCTCCCCGAGTCTTGTCGGTGTACCGGCCGACTCCAGCACCTCGTCTCCTGCTGGCTCCCCAGACGACGCCAGCTCCCCGTGTCCTGTCGGCGTACCGACCGACACAAGTTCCCTCTCAAGTCCCCTCTCAAGTTCCTACCCGAGTCCCCTCTCCAGTTCCTACCCGAGTCCCCTCTCCAGTTCCTACCCGAGTTCCCTCTCGGGTCACCTCTCGAGTCACCTCTCAAGTCACCCTTCAAGTCTCCTCTCGAGTTCCCTCTCAGGTCCCCTCTCGATTCTCTTCTCAAGATCCCTCTCAAGTCCCCTCTCAGGTCCCATCTCGAGTCTCTTCTCAAGGCCCCTCTCAGGTCCCATCTCGAGTCCTCTCTCGAGACCCCTCTCAAGTTCCCTCTCGAGTCCCATCTCAAGTCACCTCTCGAGTCACCTCTCGAGTTCCCTCTCGAGTCACCTCTCGAGTCCCCTCTCCAGTTTCTTCTCAGGTCCCCTCTCCAGTTCCCTCCAGAGTCCCCTCACCAGTTTCCTCTCAAGTTCCTTCTCAAGTCCCCTCTCCAGTTTCCTCTCAAGTTCCTTCTCGAGTCCCCTCTCGAGTCACCTCTCAAGTCCCCTCTCGAGTCACCTCTCGAGTTCCATCTCTAGTCTCTTCTCGAGTCACCTCTCGAGTTCCATCTCTAGTCCCTTCTCAAGTCCCTCCTCTAGTCACTTCTCTAGTCCCCTCTCTGGTCCCTTCCCGAGTCCCTCCTCTAGTCCCATCTCTAGTCCCTACTCAAGTCCCTCCTCTAGTCAATTCTCTAGTCCCTCCTCTAGTCCCCTCTCCAGTCCCCTCTCGAGTTCCCTCCTCTAGTCCCTCCTCTAGTCCCTCCTTTAGTCCCTCCTCTAGTCCCTCTTCGAGTCCCCTCTCTAGTTCCCCTCTCGAGTTCCCTTCTCTAGTCCTTTCCCTAGTCCCTCCTCAGGTCACTTCTCTAGTCCCATCTCCAGTTCCCTCTCGAGTTCCCTCTCGAGTCCCCTCTCCAGTTCCCTCTCGAGTCCCTTCTCGAGTCCCCTCTCGAGTCCCCTCTCCAGTTCCCTCTCGAGTTCCCTCTCGAGTTCCCTCTCGAGTTCCCTCCTCTAGTCCCTCCTTTAGTCCCCTCTCTAGTCCCCTTTCTAGTCCCTCCTCTAGTTCCCCTCGCGAGTCCCCTCTCGAGTTCCCTTCTCTAGTCCCTCCTCTAGTCCCTCCTTTAGTCCCTCCTCTAGTCCCCTCTCTAGTCCCCTCTCAAGTCCCCTCTCTAGTTCCCCTCTCGAGTCCCCTCTCGAGTTCCCCCTTAGTTCTCCTCTCGGTTCCCCTCTCGAGTCCCCTCTCGAGTCACGTCTCAAGTCCCTACCCAATGTCCTGGGCCGTTGGAGGTTCTGCTGGGGGTCCTGCCAACTCCATGTCCTGTCCCGTTGGAGGCCCCGTCGACTACTCCTCTGCCGGGGGTCCTACCAATCGTATGTCTGTCCCGTTGGAGGTCCCGCCGTCTACTCTCCTGCCGGGGGTCCTGCCAGCTCCTTGTCCTGTCTCGTTGGAGGCCCGCCGACTACTCTCCTGCCAACCCTTTGTCCTGTGCCGTTGGAGGCCCAGCCGACTAGTCTCCTGCCGGGGGTCCTGCCAACCCTTTGTCCTGTCCCGTTGGAGGTCCCGCCGTCTACTCTCCTGCCGGGGGTCCTGCCAACCCTTTGTCCTGTGCCGTTGGAGGCCCCCGCCGACTACTCTCCTGCCGGGGGTCTTGCCAACCCTTTGTCCTGTGCCATTGGAGGCCCCGCCGACTACTCTCCTGCCGGGGGTCCTACCAACTCCTTGTCCTGTTCCGTTGGAGGCCCCGCCATCCTCTGTCTTGCCGGGGGTCCTGCCAATCCCGTGTCCTGGTCCTCTTCCGTGGGGGATCCTGCCGAGGCCTGTCCCACCAGCTCCGGTTCCTGTCCGGCCGACACCGGGTCCTGCCCGGCCTCCGGAGCTCTCTGGTCTTCGCCCTCGAGCCCGGCCCCCTGAGAGCCGTGGTCTTCGCCCTCGATCCCGGCCCTCTGTGAGCCGTGGTCTTCGCCCGCGATCCCGGCCCTCTGTGAGCCGTGGTCTTCGCCCGCGATCCCGGCCCCCTGACTCTTCCTGCCGCTGCCCTCGTCCTCGAGCCCGGCCCCCGGGCCGTCCGCCCGAATACCCCTTTTTGAACTCTGCCTTGCCCCCGGGCCGTCCGCCCGAGAACCCCTCCTTGAACTCTGCCTTGCCCACGGGCCGTCCGCCCGAGATCCCTTCCTGGTCCTCTGCTGTGCTCCTGGGCGGTCAGCTCAGTCCCGTCCTCCTGACCCCCTCCACCCACCCTGGTGGCCTAGTGATACGCCCCTCCTCCGGACCCCCTCCACCCACCCTGCTTGAGGACTTTTGTGTTTTTTTTTTGGGACGTCTGGGATCCGTCCCTTGAGGGGGGGTACTGTCACGATCTGTCTTTATGGTGTCTTGTCTTGTCTTGTTTCATGTTTTATTTTGAAGGTCTTCACCTCCTGTCTTGCCTGTTTCTGTCTGCGTTGTGTCTTGTTTGGATTTGTCTGTGGTTCCCTGTCGTTAGTTCCCTGGTGTGTCTGATTACCCAATTGTGTTCACCTGTGTTTTCTCCTCCCTCCTCACCTGTGTCTTGTTTGTGTGATTAGTCTTGTGTGTATTTAAGTTCTGGTTTTTCTGTCTGTCTTTGTCGGTTCGTCTTTTGTCATGACTAGTTCGTCGGTGAGTGTTCTGTTCTGTCTGTTATCACCTAGCCTTGAAATAAAGGAACTTTCACTTTAATCTACATTTGGGTCCTACCTGCTTCACACACCGTGACAATATTTTATATATAAAAATCGGTCTCATGTTACCACTCTGTAAGCCAAGAGTTGTTAATTTAGCAATGCCTTAGCTTGAAGAACAGGGACACAACTAATGACAATAGCATATGTTGGTATATTATTTAGATATTCACACCTTTATCAGAAGAACCAAACCAACATAAAATGAGCTCACAGACAGGCCAGTTCTGTCTAATTTATCACAATTATTTTTGACATGAGATCTTCATATCATCCTAGTTTTGTATTTAGTTTCTAGATTTGTAAACAAATCCAGAACCTTTGAAATATGTTATTAAAAAAAGACCAAGAATAATATAAACTGTACCATGTGTCCTTTTGTGTCCTTCTGTAGTCCATTTGTGGTTTGTCTTGTCTCACCCCGGCTGATATATCACAAAATCCACTGTTTAAATTATTCCCTATATTGCCCCTATGCCCCTATGTAAGGTGTCCTTGGGTGTTATGAAAGGCGGCCCCCCAAAATAAATGTATTATTATTAAGAAGAACAACTTGGTGTGGTGTGGAGGGGATGTAGGAAGCAGGAGCAGGTGGGGAGAGATGGGGCTTCAAGGTTCAAGGTTATTTGTTTTAAATGTGTCTTGGAGATAAGGACCAGCTGCACACAATAAAATACAGTATAACACAAAACCAATAAGACACACGGTGACACATGGCACACCAACAATCAATCATCGTCCAGCCTCAGCTTTGGTATTCTTTCACAACCATGTTATGGGTTTATTAGACTGAGAAAACATAAACATATGTGGGGAACATAGTGCTGCGTCTCATGGAACATGAAGATTTAATAAATACATAATACAAAACCGTGCCTTCTGAGGGCGAGTTCCCACTGCCTCCTCCTCTCTTCGGTTTTGGGAAACCTTAAACACATGAGAAAGGTAGCCAGATATATAAATTATTGTCAACATTTTCCTCCCTTCTTTCCTTTAACATTAAGGGTAGGACAAAAATACACACCGAAATTATCATATTTTTGTATGTATGTATGTATGTATGTATGTATGTATGTATGTATGTATGTATACTTTAAGAATAAGACAACCACACTAAGGGTGCATTCACACCTAATAGTCCGCTCTCTGGTGCGCACCAGACCACAGTTTGTTACATTGTTTCAGGGTTAGGGTTAACCCTAACCCTAAAATGCACATATAAACTGCAATAGACATACCCCAATGATTTCAAAGCATAATACAAAGTTGACCTACCTCCTGCTGAACAGTCCCTGCTTGTTTAAGTGCATCAATGGACTGCTCAGGTTCATCGTGTTGGCTCCTCTGTAAAGATAAATAGCATAGCTTGTGTTAATCAAATGGGTACTCTTCCACCATTATCAAGGCAAACTGCTCAGGGAATATCACTCTTATTGAAAGATGTCAACCACACAATTACCTTCCTGCCCTGGCCGATAACGGTCCACTTCGAAGGATCCAGTTGCGGTGATTTGGCAACCTCTCCTTTGACAATCACCCTTGGAGTGACTCTCCTCGCAGGCGGTGATCTTCTGTGGACAACAGGAGATGGCGTCGGCTCGGCTGGAACAAGTTGCATGTATGCTGCGTTCCAGATCGAACCGACCAGGATTGGAATTCCCGCACTGTCACTCAAGTGCACCTGCAAAAACCAGCAAATAAAAATACATTTACAAATAGCACATAACATTCAATATGTTTTTTCAAGAACGGAACTTGGAATTTCAACTACAAAGAAGTTGAAACATGAGTGAGAAAACAGAGAAAACGTTTCCATTTGCCATGTCACTCACTCCATCTCTGCTCCACAGGTCAAGTTATTTCGAAGGGAAGTACTCTGCAATTGGTGTGTACTTCACGCCTAAAAAAAACAACAAGATCAATTACTAACATATCCACACAGATATTATATTTTGCTCTTTTAAAAAAATAAATAATGAAAAACAGGAAAATTATAAAAATGATTTACGGTACTTGAACCTAAATATTTGTTAAACATACCCATACGTGCCGCAACACGACGAAATTCCTGACGCATCATGTCTTGGTAGTCAGGGTCAACGGTAAGGCGCGGGGGGAAGTCCAAGGCAAAAACCTAATCAAAGTTACAGTTGTCAACTACAAAGGTACGCTATTTTTCACAATTTCTTGATAAAAATGTACATTTTTCAGAAATACATAAACATACAACCACATGGATAAGAATACAAAATGTAATATTATAAGAACTATAATAAATACAATAAAAAATAAGCTTACGTTAGGTCAGCGACTGCAGGCAGTCGCAAGGAGCTTTGCAAAATCCTCTCCTGCTTCAGTGATGGTCCTGCTGGATGTCAGGTTGTTGCTGAGAGCCATCACACAGACTGCATCTGGTGTCCTAGGCAGCACAGCATTGGCTGCCTCGGTTCGCAGCTGGGTTGCGCATGCCCCCGGTGTGGACATGGCACCAAAGGAAAACATTCCCTCTGGCATCTTCACAATTCCATCGACGATGGAACGGAGATGTGAAGCTCCAACAAGGGGGACAAACTGTAACAACAGAAGACATTATTTCAAATGAAAATCACTAATGATTACCCAGACTCTGTTAACAAAATCTGAAAATAATTCATACTTCCTTGTCTGGAGACTCAGCTGGTACGACCAATTTGTGTTGTCGTCCGGTCAGGGACGAAATTGGCCATTTCTGCACTCTATGGCGGTCATTCTATTTAAAAACAGAGAAAATTACACCGACATTAAACTTCATGAACCTTTACAATTCTTAAATTATGTCAGCAATAATAACACACCTTCCTACAGTAACACCTGTAAACGGACACGTGCAGAGGATTTTAGAAGGGAAAGGGCTCAAATGTATAAAGGGTCACACCGGTGATTGCATTTTAAAATGTATATATTTAAAACAAATCCATGTTTCAAACACTGCTTCATGACAGTTATCTAAAAATGAATGCAAAGAAATTAAGGTTATTTCAGTAAATTATCCTCATCATAACTGGCTCGCTTACCTACAGAGGGGTGTATCTGTACACGAAAAAAATGCACATGCAAACACATTTTACAATGATACAACAAAAATGGACACCCTAAACATATACAAAATTGAATGACAAAATCCTCCACTACTTACGTGCGAAACTGGCTTTGCCAGGCTGCTGATGTCGCACACGTCTCCCAGCCACGCGTAGCTTTGAAGCCTGGGAACGGCGTGCCGATTTAAGACGTGGCATCTGAAAGTATGTAGTCATTGTTATAATTAATAAAGACATTAGCAGACCCCTTAACTAGTACAAATAATTACACGAGGAGAAGACTGACGGACGTCTTCTTCACGACGAGAGGAGGACGAGGAGAAGACTGACGGACGTGTTCTTCACGAAGAGAGGAGGACGAGGAGAAGACTGACGGACGTGTTCTTCATCAAGAGAGGACGACGAGGAGAAGACTGACGGACGTGTTCTTCAAGAAGAGAGGAGGACGAGGAGAAGACTGACGGACGTGTTCTTCATCAAGAGAGGACGACGAGGAGAAGACTGACGGACGTGTTCTTTATCAAGAGAGGAGGACGAGGAGAAGACTGACGGACGTGTTCTTCATGAAGAGAGGAGGACGAGGAGAAGACTGACGGACGTGTTCTTCAAGAAGAGAGGAGGACGAGGAGAAGACTGACAGACGTGTTCTTCATCAAGAGAGGACGAGGAGGAGAAGACTGACGGAAGTGTTCTTCATCAAGAGAGGAGGACGAGGAGAAGACTGACGGACGTGTTCTTCACGAAGAGAGGAGGACGAGGAGAAGACTGACGGAAGTGTTCTTCATCAAGATAGGAGGACGAGGAGAAGACTGACGGACGTGTTCTTCACGAAGAGAGGAGGACGAGGAGAAGACTGACGGACGTGTTCTTCATCAAGAGAGGAGGACGAGAGTTCATCACATGAACCTTGTTATGTAATATGAAGTCATTATTCAGTCCTGATGTATCTCAGCCCCTGCTGTGGTGAAAGTAGAGTGATTGACAGCTGTTTTACTCAGAATTCGAATTTATTAAATTTCATTTTAGACATGAATAACACATTTATATACAGTGTAATTCAAATATTTAACTACTTTTGTAATCCTAATACTTTGGTAACCAAATCTAAAACACCAAAACAATTCGATCACATGAGTACATTTGTGTTTTCACAAGAGTTTTGAAGATTTTCTGAAAATCGGATGTCAAATTGTAAGCTTTTGAGCTACTTATCACATCAAACAGTGCTCTAAGGTGAGTAATTTGCATATATAGCAATACTAGAGATTGTCCTGAACATTTTGATATGTAACACATGGGTGCCATGTTAGAAGAAATACATTTAAAAGGTGATTTAAGAAAACATCTAAAAATCGAGAAAATACCCTTAGACTCCAGAGGGTTAAACAGCATAATAATAAGGACGATCGTCCGTTCTGTGATTCTCCAGAACACACATGGCCAGTCCGCCCCTGTGTAGCATATTATTTCAATGAGAGATGAGCAGATCGCCACTGGGCTTTCAACTAAAGACACAGCCACACAAAAACTGCGGCATTTGTACAGCTCCTTTTGGGTACTGCAATTTGTGAAGTGCTTTCCTCTGTGGTGAAACGATCAGCACGGCACCACGGAGGAAAGCGGCAGAAAGTCACCTGGAGTTAAAGAAAGCGGGCTGCGTTGCGTGCATGGCTTCCTTCTGCAGGTAACGGGGAGACGCGCTGTGGCGGCGGTCTCGTTCAGGATCCGAAAAGAAAATGCTAATGTTTTGCACACTTATTTAACTTATTCCTAGTGTGCCACTGGTTACGGTGCCGCGTGCCAGGGGTTGCCGACCCCTGCCATAGAATATGTCTGGTCATGTCCAGTCGTGTACATCAGAGGCCATGCCCAGTTTCCACAGATATGGGTGTGGAGGAGTTGTCTTTTTTTCTATCCTGTTTTTGAGCATAAAGACACTGGCGGATGGGGAGGAACTTTTTTTTTTGGAGGAGAGCGAGAGAGAGAGGGGGGGGGGGGGGGGGGGGGGGGGGGGGGTCCCCTGGTATGCTCTCTCTTGGTAAGCTCTGTCCCTCAGAGCTGGGTTTTTGCTCTCGGTAAGGTTCTCTCAAACTTGGTAAATATCTCTCAAATTTCTTGGTTGAATGCTGAGTGAATTACTTTGTTGAATGAGTGGAATGAATTGAGATGCGTTTGTGAGTATTAGTACCCGCCACCTGTGTCGGATAGGAGTGTGTTTGTGAATGTTAGTGTTACGGTGTGCAGGAAGCAGGACCCAAATGCCGATTTAAGTGACAAAATAATTCCTTTATTTCAATGCTACAATATTCAGAGACAGAACAGAACACTCACCACAGTTTACTCACAACACAAGACGAACCGACACTGAACACAGGAAGAGACAAGACTAAATACAGGAAGGGGTAATCACAAGACGAGATACAGCCGGGCAGGGGAGGAGAAACACAAGGGCCACCAGGGTGGGTGGAGGGGGACCGGAGGAGGGACACAAAACTAGGGCCAACAGGGTGGGTGGAGGGGGTCTGGATGACGGGCTTGGGCTGACAGCCCAGGGGCAAGGCAGAGCTTGAAAAGAGGGTTATGGAGGGGCGAAGGCAGTGGCAGGAAGAGTCAGGGGGCCGGGCCCGAGGGCGAGGACCGCGGCACTCAGGGCGCAGGGCTCGAGGGCGAAGACCGCGGCTCTCAGGGGCCCGGGCTCGAGGGCGAAGACCGCGGCTCTCAGGGGGCCGGGCTCGAGGGCGAAGACCGCGGCTCTCAGGAGGCCGGGCAGAACCCGGTGTCGGCCGGACAGGAACCGGCGCTGGTGGGACAGGCCTCGGCAGGATCCCCCACGGAAGAGGACCAGGAGTTGGCAGGACCCCCGCCAGGAGGGCAGTCGGCGGGACCCCCAACGGGACAGGACACAGGATTGGCAGGACCCCCGGCAGGAGAGCAGTCGGCAGAACCTCCAACAGGACTGGACATGGAGCCGGAAGGACCCCCAGTGGAACCTCCATCGGCATAGGACATGGGATTGGCAGGACCCCCGGCAGGAGAGTAGACGGCGGGACCTCCAACAGGACAGGACACAGGGTTGGCAGGACCCCCGGCAGGAGAGAAGTTCGCGGGACCTCCAACAGGACAGGACACAGGGTTGGCAGGACCCCCGGCAGAAGGGGGGCCCAAATGCAGATTTAAGTGACAAAATAATTCCTTTATTTCAAGGCTACAATATTCAGAGACAGAACAGAACACTCACCGCAGTTTACTCACAACACAAGACGAACCGACACTGAACACAGGAAGAGACTAAATACAGGAAGGGGTAATCACAAGACGAGACACAGCCGGGCAGGGGAGGAGAAACACAAGGGCCACAGGTGAAAACAATCAGACAACTAGACACACCAGGGAAACTAACGACGGGAGGAAAAACACAGGAAGAAGGACCAGACAATATACAAGGATGAAAATACCCATAACCAGACATAAAAAACTACAACACAGACAGATCCTAACAGTTAGTACCCGCCACCTGTGTCGGATAGGAGTGTGTTTGTGAGTTATTAGTAACCGCTACCTATGAGGATCTTCCTCCGAATATCTGCGGGAGATAGGTATGTGTTTGTGGATGTTAGTACCCGCCATCTGTTTGCATCGTTTGGACAACAAAAACAAAGTGAAGCTCTCATACCATAAACAATCTTTGAGTACAGACACCGTCTTGCAGAGAGCACACAACCCAACAGCCCGATTTTGGTCTAGCATCATTTTACAAAACGTTTCCATTAAGACACTAAGACTAGCTGGTCCATTGTAAAGGTCAGTCCACCTTAAATGAGCAGTGGGTGATCAGCAGGTGAAAGGCAGGACATGGGAACTTGGTTCTGAGGAGATGTAACGATTATTAAATAAGAAATAGTCGAATCAAGGGGTCAAATAAATGAACATTTGTGATTATTAGCGAATCGGTTGCAGATGGGTGAAAACAGGCTTAGGGAGTAACGTATTACATGTAACGGCATTAGGTCATCAGGACACAAAATAGGAAAATGTATTCCCTTACAGTTACAGAAGTAAAAACACTCCGATAACAGGTACATGTATGTAAAACAGGGCTCATTAACAGGATAGCAATGATACAAAACGTTTAGAAATAAAGAATAATACATTAAATCATCCTATACCTGGATATGGAAACTTGGAGCCCTCAATCCAAATAAAATGGTTCATCAACAGTCAGTGGTTAACGTATACATCAGAATGACAAAAACATTAAACATATTGTCCACTTATGTTGATAAAGATGGAGTTCATTTAAGTCTTATATGGATGTTGTCCAACAATGTTAATCCAGTCAGACAGATTTCTCTCACGTGTGAACTGTCATAAGACTTATTCATTGTCCTCTCCATCAGCTTCTGTTTCCATGTGTTCAGCTGAGCTGCTGATTGGAGGCTCTGCCTCTCCGTTATCCTCAGTTTGAATTTCATTAAGCTGTGAGGACTGACGACCAACACACTTGTGCCTTTTGAAATGATTACGCAATTTAAATATTTTGTCACAAACATTGCAGCTGTATATTTCCTCTCCTGTATGGACTCTCAAGTGTGTCTTTAAATTTCCATTCTGTGAAAAAGCTTTCTTACAGACTGAGCAGATGTGTGCTTTCTCTCCTGTGTGGATTCTCATGTGTGTCTTTAAATGTGTATTCAGTGAAAAAGCTCTCTCACAAACTGAGCATTTGAATGGTTTCTCTCCTGTGTGGATTGTCATGTGTTCCTTTAAATTTCCACTCTGTGAAAAATCTTTCTCACAAACTGAGCAGCGAAAGGGTTTCTCTCCTGTGTGGACTCTCATGTGTGTCTTTAAATGTGTATTCAGTGAAAAAGCTTTCTCACAAACTGAGCATTTGAATGGTTTCTCTCCTGTGTGGACTCTCATGTGTTCCTTTAAATTTCCACTCTGTGAAAAAGCTTTCTTACAGACTGAGCAGGGAAAGAGTTCCTCTCCTGTGTGGACTCTCATGTGTTTATTTAGATCTCTTCTATGTCTAAAAGCTTTCTTGCAGACTGAACAGCTGAATGGTTTCTTTTCAGCACTACGTCGGGGATCACTGACAGATTCTTGTCTATTTTTCAGTGAGTTTGAGCCTGAGGCAGGTTCTCTGGTCTCCTTCCAATCAGCACTGTCTTCAGTGTCAGGTTCAGAAGAGTCCT